CGGGCTTCATCAGGGTGTGTGACTCTCACCGAGTCATTGGGAATGTAGATCATACTCGTGTCTTCAATCTTATAAATAGAGTGGCCGCCGATGTCAGCCATTTTACGACGTTTCGTGATCAACACAATATAGTAACCCTCCAGAAACCGCACAAAACCTGAAAGACACCAGAGACAAGAGTAAATCACACTAGATCTCGGTTAACTGCATTAGTTTGGGGTTTTTTGTTTCATTTTTATTTATTTAGCGCCATCCCAGCTAATGTATGGAATCCCTAAAAGTTATTATTTTTTACTTTCTCGTTTTACTGATGGCGACTTAATATTCTCGTGATCTCGACATAACAAAAGTCGTTTTCTCGTAATGTCGGCAATAAAAGTTGTTTTCTTGTTATCACGACTTACTTTTCTCGTGATGTCGGCAATAAAAGTTGTTTTCTTGTTATCAGGACTTACTTTTCTCGTGATCTCGGCAATAAAAGTTTTTTTTCTCGTTATCACGGCTTACTTTTCTCGTAATGTCGGCAATAAAAGTTGTTTTCTTGTTATCACGACTTACTTTTCTTGTGATGTCGGCAATAAAAGTTTTTTTTCTCGTTATCACGAATTACTTTTCTCGTAATGTCGGCAATAAAAGTTGTTTTCTTGTTATCACGACTTACTTTTCTCGTGATGTCGGCAATAAAAGTAGTTTTCTTGTTATCTCGAATTACTTTTCTCGTGATGTCGGCAATAAAAGTTTTTTTGTCGTTATCACGACTTACTTTTCTCGTGATGTCGGCAATAAAAGTTTTTTTGTCGTTATCACGACTTACTTTTCTCATGATGTCGGCAATAAAAGTTGTTTTCTCGTTATCAGGACTTACTTTTCTCGTGATGTCGGCAATAAAAGTTTTTTTTCTCGTTATCACGACTTAATATTCTCGTGATGTCGGCAATAAAAGTTGTTTTCTCGTTATCACGACTTACTTTTCTCGTGATGTCGGCAATAAAAGTTTTTTTGTCGTTATCACGACTTACTTTTCTCGTGATGTCGGCAATAAAAGTTTTTTTTCTCGTTATCACGACTTAATATTCTCGTGATGTCGGCAATAAAAGTTTTTTTCTCGTTATCACGACTTACTTTTCTCGTGATGTCGGCAATAAAAGTTTTTTGTCGTTATCACGACTTACTTTTCTCGTGATGTCGGCAATAAAAGTTTTTTTCTCGTTATCACGACTTACTTTTCTCGTGATCTCGGCAATAAAAGTTGTTTTCTCGTTATCAGGACTTACTTTTCTCGTGATGTCGGCAATAAAAGTTTTTTTTCTCGTTATCACGACTTAATATTCTCGTGATGTCGGCAATAAAAGTTGTTTTCTCGTTATCACGAATTACTTTTCTCGTGATGTCGGCAATAAAAGTTGTTTTCTCATTATCACGACTTACTTTTCTTGTGATCTCGGCAATAAAAGTTGTTTTCTCGTTATCATGAATTAATTTTCTCGCGATCTCGGCAATAAAAGTTCTCGTTATCACGACTTAATATTCTCGTGATCGCGGCAATAAAAGTTGTTTTCTCATTATCACGAGTCACGACTTACTTTTCTCGTGATCTCGGCAATAAAAGTTTTTTTCTCGTTATCACGGCTTACTTTTCTCGTGATCTCGGCAATAAAAGTTGTTTTCTCGTTATCACAACTTAATATTCTCGTGATCGCGGCAATAAAAGTTGTTTTCTCGTTATCACAACTTAATATTCTCGCAATCTCGACATAACAAAAGTCGTTTTCTCGTTATCACGACTTACTTTTCTCGTGATCTCGGCAATAAAAGTTATTTTCTCGTTATCACAACTTAATATTCTCGTAATCTCGACATAACAAAAGTCATTTTCTCGTTATCACAACTTAATTTTCTCGTGATCTCGACATAAGTCGTTTTCTCGCGATTGTGATGTAATTAGTTTTTCTCGTTATCATGACTTAATTCAAACAATCTGACTGAAAGCTCAAATTTTTAACAGCTTGTTTAGACTTACGGCTTTGATTTTCTCAGAGTTTTAGAAGAAAACATGTTTTTGAAAATTTATATTTCATATAAAAATTAAAAATAGTATTTTTGCACATTTTTCATAACAATAAACGTAAAATTGTAACTTTTTTTTTTTTTACTCAACTTTTTAAACGTTTGAAAAGAGACCAAACTTCAGTCTGTGCTTTAAAGCATTCAAGATTCACCACAGTTTAAGTTGGAAATTAAATTTTCAGCTCTACGCTCAAAAAGTGAATAAATGGATTATAAATACAGCGTAAATATAATTTAGTACCATAAACTCCCCTAAAAATACAAAATATTAAATATTATTAAAATATAAAGTACATTAATTTAATTTAAATAAAAAAATTAATTAATTTGACCGACACGCGAAGAAGAGCACCAGAGGGTTAAATGAGGAATATTGTGACGTGTTCGTTCTCCGGAGAAAACTCAAGACTACAATGGAGGCGTTTCAGGAGTTCAGAAACACTGACTCTGATATAGAGAAGAACTCTCTTTTTCAGACTCAAACAGCAACATCACGGACTAAAGAACGATGTTAGAAGCATAATTTAAGCATACAGTAAACAGTTTGAGGTATTTCAGAGGTAGAGCACTCTAATGTTGAGACGCGAGGGTGTATTCAAACGCTGTGTTTGTCATGACTGTTGTTTCACATCACACAAACCGATCTATCAGGTGTGTCATAAACACATAGCACACAGTGTTCTGATGTGCACTGAATTCTCACTTCTTATTGCTCCACGATGCTCGGCTCCCTCAGCGGTCGTTACAGGGGAATCGAGGTTGCATAAGACACAGTTTTGATGACAAACCCGACTCAAACTGATTGATATTTCACCAGATCGGTGTCAGAGGAACTAGATCATGACCTGGAGACCATCACCCAGTTCCTCACAGTGCTGACCGGGATCATGTGACGCGACGCTGATTCAGCGTGACAGGAGTCGGTCTGGTGTGTGTGTGTTTCTCGTACAACACCGTAACTCGTGCTTCACTACTAAAGTGCGATGCGTCGTTGAAGAAATCGCTAGTCACGACTGTTTCCCGAAACCATATTGTCGCAAATTGGTCGTTCAAACACGTTAGTTAATGATGTCACGCACGTGTGGAGTAATAACTACTGTTAATGAATCTGTTTGAGATCAAATTAACGCTAGATGCTTTGCTATAAATCACAGACATGCATCTGAGGAATATTTCTATTTTTTCTCAGTTATTTTGCTTTATTTCCAGATTCACTCATAGACTCGTTCACACACACTAGAGCTCGTTCACACACACTAGAGCTCGTTCACACACACTAGAGCTCGTTCACACACACACACACACACACACACACACACTAGAGCTCGTTCACACACACTAGAGCTCGTTCACACACACTAGAGCTCGTTCACACACGCGCACTCTACAAACACGACACTTTAAATCTCTCGACAAACTAAAAGACGTAAATGACATTTGTATGTGTTCTAAATAAAAGACACAGGTTGCACTGAATGTCCGCTTGCTTATTTTGCTCAAGATCAGGATTTATTGAGTCCACATGTCATGAAAACAAGAAACTGCTTCTAACTGCAGCTCGAGATCTGTCGCTCACACACACAACTCGATGCGGTTTCGTTTTTAACGATGGTTTCGGGAAACACCGACTCGCTGAACTGCTGATAACGACAGAACTTGTGACCATAGTTGGCTAATGATGCTTTCGGGAAACACACCCCTGTCTGAGAGCGGCTTCATGAGTGTGTGCAGACAAAAAAATATATATTACAGACAAGCCATCAAAATCACTCCGCTAACAGAAGTAAAGCTGAAGTCATATAAACAGCAAATAAACGGTAAAGCATGAAACTAGCAACGCCAGAGTAATGGGTTCGATTCCCAGAGAATGCATGAAGCGCCAAACGCATGAATGTAAAATGTAAATATTAGATGAAAAACTAATTTCAAAATATTGATAAATACTATAATAATAGTATATAAATAATACTAAAATAACACTGACCAGGAAACAGCGATATGAAAATTGTCCGATACCGATAATTCCTTATTTTTAAAAGCCGATAACCGATATATTGGCTGATTAATCTAAATCCAAATTTTGATATAATTTTTGAGAGCCTGATTACAAGAAACTGGTCTCAGCATTAAAAGCCACGTCCCAAACACACAGTTATAATGTTCTCATAATAATTTTATGTAGCCGATATGACAGATTTCCACTGAACTCTATTTTCCTTTTTTGAAGTGATTCCGATCATATTTCAAGCAATTCAAAACCATCATGTTGAAGCGCATCTGAAGTTTCTCAGCGGAAGGAAATAACACATTATTTATCGGCTTTAATATATCGGCAAAATTTTCTTATCGGGCCGATAACGAAAACATTAAAAATTAACATATATCGGCCGATACCGATATGGTGACCGATATAAGTCATGCATCCCTAAATAAAATTTAAAGTAAGCAAGGCAATAAACAGAGCAATTCCAAGAGGGTCCTCGCTCCCTGGTGGTCCTAAGAAGGCTTACCCACAATGCCGTGGGCAGAAACGGCTCTGGAAAGACCGGAGGATCCTTTCTGCCCGATCTTAGTGCGATTGCCCAGATCCAGGCGGCCCAGGAGCTCTCGCACTTCCAGTTGACTGTAAACATGCTGCCACACACACACACACACACACACACACACACTTAAAACATTTACACTGAACAAAACTATGGACACATTTAAACGGGGAATTCAGAAATCAATATTTTTAACTCGAGAGCAAACAAGGTTTCAAATATTGGTAACACTTTACAATAAGGTTCATTAGTTAACTACATTAGTTAACATTAACTAAGAATGAACAATACTTCTTCAGCATGTTTTAATCTTTGTTAATGTTAATTTCAACATTTACTAATGCTTTATTAAAATCTTGTCTGTGAACTAACATGAACACACAATGAACAGCTGGATTTGTATTAACTAACGTTAACAAAGATGAACAAATTAAAGATTAACTAATGTTTAATAAATGAACCTTATTGTAAAGTGTTACCAAAATATTATTTCCACCACACTAGTGATTTGAATATGCTGGAAAAGCCATTTGGTTTCTAGTAGAAACATTAACGAACAACCACCAGTACAGAGACTTATAGATTCAATTGTGAATTTAAATTGATGGGATTTTTATATTTCGCCGATATTTTAGTATGTAACGCCCACTTTTCTCTATCCAATCACGTCCCACCTTCAAAAATATGTCACATTATTGAAGTAAAATAGGTTGCAAACATCATTTCATGTTGACTTGCTTCTAAAAAAGTGAAACTGAGGTGTGTGTGTGTGTGTGTGTGTGTGTGTGTGTGTGTGTGTGTGTGTGTGTGTGTGTGTGTGTGTGTGTGTGTGTGTGTGTGTGTGTGTGTGTGTGTGTGTGTGTGTGTGTGTGTGTGTGTGTGATACCCTGATATCAGGGCGCTCACCTTATCATCAATAATGACCAGATCTCGTGGTTCAGTGCGATCGATCTTCAGGACGCGATGTTTCGTTTGAGCGTTATTACTCCCCACGAGAAAATACCTCTGAGAAAAGAAAAATAATAATCAATATCGGTTTTTGACAAGCAACAACATGAAATCAAACTCCTGTATAAAAATCTTAAATGGACGTTAGGGTGAAATTTATCGAAACATTTGAGTGTCACATTATTACATCCCAAAATCGTCCCACTATGGTGAAAATCCATGTTTATATGTCTATTTTTAATACGCTTTAAGACACACCATGTGTAAGTTCATAAGTCGACAGCATTGCTGAGTATTTCCTCCTTAAAACTGCAGTGAACCAAAGACAGTCTCAAAAACACGGTTTGAAATCGCTGGTGTTTCTGACGTCACAAACGACCTTGTAACCAATCAGATCAACGTGTGATCGTCAACCAGTGGATCTCTGAGCTGAGTGAGTGAGTGGAGGCGGGGCTCATTTGCATATTCATATAGTATATAAAGCGTTCACAGGCAAATTTGCTTTATGTTTTCCCCGGCGTGGAAATCAGGCTTTCCACATGACTCCTGCTGGATGTTGATATCCACGATCAGGGTCTTTGGTAAGTTGTAAGAAACACTATATCGAGTCCAAGCTTTAGTTTAAACTGATAATCATTCGTTTTACTCGTGTTTTCACAGTTTCCTCTATTAACTCTGTTAATTTTCTGACACTCAGTCCGGTTTAGGGAGTGTGTTCCCGCGGGAAAGTGACATCAATGCATTAACTCTATTCAAAAAACGATATCACATACATGAAGGTGTCAAACGTATTCACATTCATAACTCAGGTAGAAGTATAGATACTAGGGTTTAAAAAGACTTACTGTAGAAGTTGCTTTTTAAGAAGCTTTTTCCTCAAGTAAAAGTACTGGTTTCAAAACTACTTAATGGCATTTTTTTTCCTTACATTACTTTTACTTTAATACTTTAAGGACAAAAGCTTAGGCCTCGCCACAGGAGCCTATAGTGCTCTACCACCTCCTCAAAAAACACTTTTCTAAAGGCCATAATGACTATAATGTTATATTAAAATGTTAATGTTGAACAATTTGGGATGCACTAGGCATGTTTCAGCTGCATATATGCACATTGAAAATGTTTTTTTTTAATTTTTATATATACATTAAAGAACCATATGTGTGTAATACATGTGCAGGTGTGATGGATCGCATACAAACCAATGGTGTCGGAATGGTATACGTTTATACTTCTGTTGTGAACTTTTTTCTTCTAAAGTGTTTGAAAACTCAGAAGCGAAGACCAGGAGACTCGGGTGTATCTTTTAAGCAGGATTCTTCATTGCTGTTGCATCGCTGTAGTCCAAAAATCTTAGCCAAGTCTGACTAAACTAAAATACAGACTGTTCATATACCTTACAAGGGGGAGGAGTTACATAAAGGTGGAGACACTCTGAAACAAAGCATGTAAAGCACAGGATTCAGCTCGTTACCGGAAATTTCCCAGCCCTGATCTCATCAGCATAACAGTGTCATGTATAGATGGTAATCCAATCAGCCTGATTGTATCACCCATACCTTCACATTATCATAGAGCTAAATGGCGAAGAGTTACATCGAAGGGGAGACACTCTGAAACAAAGCATGTAAATGAACTATACAGGTTTAGGAACTAGGGCTGTCAACTTTAGTCGTTTAGTCGACTAATCGGTCGATGCCGTCTTGATCGACTGACATTCTTATTGGTCGACCAGTTGCTTTTTTTTTGTTTTGTTTTTTTACCAATAGAAAGAAATTTTCAATGATTTACTCCTTGATATTTATTCCTTTATAAGCAGTTATATAGTACTGTATTCTAAATATAATTAGCCTATGGTTTATCCCCAACTTTAAATGCTTTAATTTAGGCTATTTTGTAACAGCGCCACAGTTTAGCGCACACACATAGAACACTCGGTTCGCACCTGTGGCTGCGCTGCTGCTTCGTGCTCACTAATAGGTAGTTTAGCTGTATTCATTCAGTTAGAACGCTACTTGTTTTGGTTTTTTTGTTTGTATACACTAACGTTATATGTTTTTATCTCGATGCGGCGTGGACTCACTTGGAAAAAAAAAAGAGCGCGTCGCACCGCGACCGCGTTGCTTCCATCATGAGCGCGCACACCGCGCGCCTACATTTGAAATCGAACTTGAGCACGAAAAGACGTGAGCAGTCCCTTTAACGGCTTTATCATGCTGACTCAATAGATTGTGTTTTCTTGATATGTTTTTATTTGTACACTTGACGCGTTTGAAAATAGCCTAAATAATGTAACAAAATGAAAATTATTATTAGGATTGTTTTTTAGGCTCTTTGGGTTTTTTTGTGTGTTTGTTTTAAAACTCCTAGATCGGCTGGACAAAATTTAACCCATAGCTTTGAAAGTAAAGAAGAATATACAGCCTGTATAAACGAGAGCTTTTGTTAGGATTTTTCATTGTCAGATAGCAGTTATATTTTTTGTAGCGTGTGGTGTGGTCAGGTGCGCGATTGTGAATGTTACTATAGACCTAGGACAGAGCTCCTCACTTTTTGCAGTTAAAAAAAAAAATCACTTAATTTTCAAAGAATTGTATTATTATAGTTTTATGTATTTTTGATGTTTTTTCGTTGTTGTTTTATAAATGCTCTATGAAAATTGTTAAAAAATGTTCAATCAAAATCAAAACATCGCGTCTTTTTTTTTTTTTTTTAGTCGACTAATCGTTGCGCAGGACAAGACTTTGGTCGACTAAGGATTTCTTTGGTTGACTACAGCCCTATTAGGAACCTGCTCTTAGTGTTACCAATCCTAATCCAATCAGCATAACTATTCAAACTGAGCCAGGGGCTCCCAGAGCCATTAAAGACAAAGAGTCTCAGTAATCTGATTCATTTAACTTACAATAGAGAGACCTGGGGTCTCATTTATAAAGCGTGCGTACACACAAAACGGGGCTGGAAACGTATGTACGCCAGTTTCCACGCAAAGGTTGTGATCTATAAAAAACAAACTTGACGGGAGAATGTGCGCACCTTTAAGCAAACTTTGAGCCGTGCGTACGCACGTTTTGGAGATGGAGCAGTTTGGCGACACCGATGGTGAGCTGGAGCTAAATGTCTTTTTGGTCACTTTTAGACAGAAAATCTAAAGAAAATTAGTATACAGAAAGATAATACGAATATAATTTCACTCACCAAGCCTATCAAATGAAGCAAACATCCATCCCTTTGGGCGTTATAATCTCCATATATGGTTGTTTCGGGGAGGAGACGCATGTGCGCACAATCTTCCGCTGACTGGGATTTATAAAGTGAATTCTGCGCAGGTTCTGGCGTACGCACGGTTTTATAAGTCAGAATATTTGTTTGCGTACGCCATTTTTGGCTTTCGGACGCACGTACACTTTTAGGAAGGATCCTACGCACAGTTTTATAAATGAGATCCCAGGACTGGCAGAATCTCTTGCTCATTTATACCTCAAATGCTAAATTCAGTCTACTAGACAATAATGACAATTTGATTCAAAATAATACTTTTACATAATGAAATATATTCCGTACATGTTCTTGACATGTTCTCATAAGATTATCAAACGAAGAGTTATTGAGTGAATACAAAGAAAAACAGTTTGCTCTTTATTTGGACAGATTTCCAGGAAAGACACATTAAAGCTCTCAGTGAGAAGGAAACATCGAGAGAAGAACACAGCGGACGAGGATAAAGACAGACAGTCTTAACATGTCCTCACATTATTACAGTCTATGAATGTGCAACTGCGCTCATAAGCGGCCCAGTCTGTCCTGTTCTGTGCTTTACTGGTGAAAAGACAGGTCAAACACAGCGTAATGTTAAAGGAACCGAGTGGATTCACACTGGACTGGACTGACTGTAAGTCTGCACACAGTAAATTATGCTACTATTACGTAACATACGACCGTAAAATCAAATTTAGCCAGTCAGATCAAATAACTATTCAATGAACTGCAAAAAAAGTAAGCAAATAAAAAAATAATGTGGATTAAAAATGGAGGGAAAAACAAATAGCGTCTACAGCATACCACTATAAACGCTAATCTAAATAAAACAGTTCATGGCATGCTATATCAGCTATTCATATTTTCTTTCCTATAATGATTAGACAAACTTAGATTGCACAAAACTATACAACTACTTATTAAATCTTATTAAAATAGCTCTTTCTGAGCAGAATCACTGCGGTCCAGACATCAGGCCGGTTTAACGGCAGAGAAACACTGCCATCTAGCAGCAGAGTAATACTTCACAATCACAAATATTAAAAATAAATAAAGAGGATATTGTGCTTTTGTCCATGTTCATCTTGCTTTAGTGTGTAATAAGGTCCCATTAGTTATCATTAATTGATGTATTAACTCACAATGAGCAATACATTTGTTAGAGTATTTATTAATTTTGTTAACATGAGTTTATTCTTAGTTTATCTCTCCATTAAATAATATTAACAGTCAGATACAACTTTTGGTTTCAATAATGTATTAGTGAATGTATTTAAAAGTATTATTCATTGTTAGTTCAGGTGAACAAGTGAAACCTTATTGTAAAGTGTATTAAATGTGGAAGTAAAAGTTAAAATAAACATTAATACTAATATTAATGTTGTGAACTAATAAAACCTTATTGTAAAGTGTATTAAATGTGGAAGTAAATGTTAAAATGAACATTAATACTAATAACAATAATTGTAGTAAACTAATGAAACATTATTGTAAAGTGTTACTGTTACAATTTGTGTTCATTGTTACTAAAATACAAAATGCAACGCTGATTATTGTGAGTTTCTTGAATGTTTTGGTTTTTATTTTGGCAACAGGACGCCCTGTAGAGTGGGCGGAGTTTAAAGCTCGATCACATGACCAGCTCGATCACATGACCACCGAGCGCCGTTGAGCGCATATTGAGACAAAAAAGAAAAAAAGTCAGACAATCCCATTATTGCTCTGTCCTGTTGCTCAGCTTGAGCCTGTCGGGAACGTCTCCGCTGTGATTGGTCAGTATTGTGGGCGTGACACAAGTTTGCTTTTTTGCTATTGGTTAAAGAGGACCTATTATGCTTTATGTCCATGTTCATCTGTGTTTAGTGTGTGTGATGTTGCTGTTTGAGTCTGAAAAAGAGAGTTCTTCTCTATATCAGAGTCAGTGTTTCTGAACTCCTGAAACGCCTCCATTGTAGTCTTGAGTTTCTCCCGGGAACGAACTCGTCACAATATTCCTCATTATAATAATTCATACGCAGAATAAAGGGGCGGGGCCTGGTTGAGTGAGTTAGTAGTAGGGATGTGCAATAGTACTACGATCGATCAAGAAAACGATGATTGTCGTGACTTTAAAAATATACAATTATTTTTCTGATTGGTTATTGCTGTATTTTGGGCGGTACCCGAGTTCTGATTGGTTAGCGTTATAAACGCCGGTCGAAATAAAGTGAAACTATGGATTTGAAAGTGCGCAGTGATCCCTGGAATCACTTTGATCATGAAAATACATTTGAGTGCATTATGTGCAGGGCATTATGATACATAAGATTTTATTTGACCGTTCGCAAAGCCCCGCCCCCTTTAGTTACTGTTGCTATGTCCGACAAGCCACGCCTCTCTGGACCAGCTTGCTTTTGATATGAAACTAATTCTCAACTTTCAAATGTGCTAATTTTTTAAACAAATTTAAACAATAAATAGCGTTTTGTGTCTCTTTAATGTGTCTGACAGATCGCTCAGTTAAAGCGGCTCGTGAACCGTTCATCTCTTCCTTCTAGTTCATTTATAGCATCAAATAAACATGAATGAACATCAGGAGGAATGTTGTTTTAACCGCGGAAAGACGTCAGTACACTCCGTTTCTCAAGTTTAAATCCTCCAATGTTGATCTACTAACTCTCCTGACGGCTCTGTCGGACAAAAATTGCGGATTCGGCGGATTATGATTGGTCAGATCGCCTGTCAATCAAACTCCCTGCGAACGGTCAATTACAACAGGATTGTGATAGAATGTCAAGCTTCAGTTTCCCGTGTTTCAACGTCGTTGTTACGGGAAGAGCGCATGAAGAATTTAAACAATTCTTCATGCCTTAAAATATCTTGAATGTAACTCGACACCCTTTCCTCATTTAGTATGCGCGGTTCTATGAATATGCAAATGAGCCCCGCCTCCACTCACTCACTCAAATCCATTTATCCTCCAATAATAATAAATTAAATGTGACTTACAGCTCTGGTCTCGTAAAGCACCAGTTTCTGAACTCCTCCAATCACAGCGGCTGTCAGAGGCATGATGATGATGATGATGATGCTTCCGTCCAATCAGTGACCCTTCAGACAGTAAACATGCAGATGAGACACAGACATCAGAGGAATCCACACATGCTTTATACTCTGAAGCTTTTCTATTATGGCTACAGATCACAAGTTCAACTTCAGAATCTGCAAATAATAATCAATAATTAATCATGAATACTGCATTTTTATTTAGAAATGATTCCACATAAAAGACGTTCCATATTTAGTTTAAAGATCTTACTTTTTAATTTAGCCTGCTCTTTAGAAGCTACATAATATATTTAATATAATATCATAACGTATTTAATATTAATATATGTTATAAGAAAAAAATAAGAACAATTTACACTGATTAATAATCCTGCAAGAACCACAACTGTAAGTAAGTTACATGCTTGAATCTTGAATGACAAATGAAAAAGAGGATGTACAATTGTATCGATTATAATATATTCATAAACCAAAATAAGGTTCCAATGATAAGTTAATTAACTTAATCTCATTCTTCATACATCTCAAAGATATAAATAAATAATAATAGAAATTTTAAAATAATAATAATAATAATGTCGATTTCACTTCAATTAACAAATTTTATAAAGGTTGGGTCTTAGTGAATCCATTTTTGCATATAGATTTAATATGATAATCCAGTAATAATCTAATATGAACATGAGAAGAAAGGTCTCCTTTAAATATTTACTGCGTTTAAGGGCGGTTTACTGCCCCCTCTTTGTGTTTTAAAACATAAGACGCTTTCAAAATTACAGAATTATAACAAGAGCCAAATAAATACTACTTACAATCAGAGGACGCCTGCATGAGTGTCGATATCTAGAGAAATATTGTACATAAACAAAACGCTACACTGAGTCATGTGACTGTCATGCAGTGCAGCTGAGACGGCGTCTCTGCTGGGACAAAAAACAAGAGCGCGAAAGCGATTTAAAAAAAAAAAAAACACCTGCGACTGACTTCTACAGGCGCGGGCTCGTTTGAATGTCTAATTTGTGAGTATGAAAAACATGCATTTGTTTTTGCTGATTTGTATTTTGTTGTAGTGTTAGATAGATAAGTTAACATGACCTAGATGTCCATTTCCTGAAAGAAATAGTTAGTGTAAAAGTATTTTACATTTCTGAGGACCTTTTGGTAACCGCGAAAACTTACCGCCTTGATCCAAGATGTTGTGGGTGGTTGTCAGGGCGTTGCTAAGGTGTTCCAGTGTTTTTTATAGTGTTGCTATTCAGTTTTGAATGCTTTCTGGCTAGTTGTTTGGCTATTGCTATGACTTTTGAATGGAGAATCGGCCAATATGTGGGAGTTTGTTCAAATGCTGGAATATGGACCGTTACTGGCCGTTACTCATCACGATATAACGATAACTTCCTGTTTAAAAAGCCCGCGCTTTTTTATGTACGCTTTAAAATCATTGGATTAGGATTGGGTCAATTTTGTTATCGTCCAGATGGGAAAAATGTTCTGGAAGTGATCCTAAGGATATCGTTTCTCTGTCGTTTGTGGACATTCTTATGGTTTTAAAGTAATCTTCTTCGAGCTTAATTTAGTCAAGTTATGCAGCGCGCGGATGGATTGAGCAATTTTTTTTTTTTATCGTTTATCAGACGAGGAAAAATTTTTGTCATGTAGTTGTGGTGATTTTCGCTATTTTTTTAAGTGATTTAGCCCAAATTAGAAAAACAAAATTCTTTATTTATTATTAAAAGTTTAACTTTTATTTTTATATTTTTAAATGTTTGATCAAAAACCATGTTTTGTGTTTTTTTCCCCTTCACTTTATTGTTTTCGTTATATTCGGTCCCTATACTGAATACCATCACGAAAATTAACCATGGTTTTATTATAGTAAAGCCTTTTTTAATGGGGGTGGTTATTGAGTACCATTTGTATAACCACAAATACCGTAGGTAAACTATGGTTTTTGTATCTAAACAAATTGTTATTTTGTAGTTAACATTATTTTTTTTTTTTTTCTTCTTTTTTTTTTTTTTTTTTTTTGTAAAACCATGGTTAATTTTTGTAAGGTTATAAAAACAGTACTTTAACCTGTAGGAGTGACCGTGAAGATGCAGTTCTCTTCGGTTCCTGTAGATGTCGCTGTGTGTTCATACATCGATAAGCAGAGGTTTCTTTTTGTGTGTAAAGTACAATAAATTATTTGTAGTCTATTTTACTATTATTTGTAGAATAAAGTAGTCTTAATGCCCAATAATATCTTGTTGAATTTAATTTAATTTTAATTCTGACGGTGGCATGTTATATATATATTTTGATTTCCTTTTACATATTTGAGAGTTATTTTAAATGGAAAGAAATCAAGACAGAAATATAAGTTCTGCTCATTTAAGTTTGTGTTGTGTTTTGCTTCATTTGTTGTGTACAGATACATTTTGAACTACAAGTATCATGTCAACTACCGGTCATTAGAGTATTAATAGACGGTCTGCTTAATATCTGCTAACACTTTAATTTGATGCTTATATAAGCAACTTATATGTCTCTCTTTAATTCTTACCATTTAAAATAACTCTATTGGCATACGCTCACATATAAGTGAAAATAAATAAATAAAAAGAAAGAAATTAAAATAAACAAATAAATAACGTGCCACTGTCAGTATTAAAATAAAATAAAATTCAAGATATTATTGGGCATTAAGACTAATTTATTCTACAGATAATAGTACAATAGACTACAAAACTAATTTATTGTACTTTTACACACACACTTACTCTACAAACCCGAACCAAACAGTCTCTGAGAACTAGTTGACATTTTTGCATTATAGTTAAAATGTGTAAAGTGGACAATTAATCAAAATACAGTGTAACCCCAAAATGAAACCGAGGAATAGAAAGGAATGATTGCTTGATTGAGAAAATGAGATGCACATAAAAATAAAAAATTAATCTAACATGTGACCCTGGATCCCAAACCCAGTCACGAGTCGGTCAAAATTATGCATTTTTCTTTTATGCCGAAAAATCATTAGAATATTAAGTAAAGATCATGTTCCATGAAGATATTTAGTAAATTTCCCATTGTAAATATATTTTAAAAAAAAATAATTGTGAGTGAATGCAGCACATTCGCGAACATAAATGCACAGCTTTAAAAGCGATTTTCTCAATGTTTTGATTTTTTCCTCAGATTTCAGATTTTCAGCCAAATATTGTCCCATAACACACCATACATCAATGGAAAGCTCATTTATTCAGCTCTTGTGGCCCCGGGTCACATGGTTTAACTAGTTCCTCTCTGCTGTATCCTGGCTGATATTTTGACAGCATTATCACTGCGAGAGAGATTAGTCGTCTTCGCAATCGTTGTGGCGCCGGCGTGTCCCTCCTCCGCCAGACAGGGTTTGTGTTGGCAGCCCAGAGAGGCTTCTGGGAAACGTCGGTCCTCCAAAACCCCGTCTGCACCTTCACGGTCCCTTTTAAAGTCCATTTCCTCGTCTTAAACTTCTCTTCCGCTACACAAACACATTCTGTCATCCTGAAACATCCTGAAGATTTCGTCTCGTTAGATGGACTCCAGATCCGACGCTGTGGCCTACAATCAAACATGTGTTTTTGGTCATTAGTAGTTCTGATTATTGACATCTCAGCTTTGTGTCTAAACACTTTACAATAAGGTCCATTAGTTAACTACATTAGTTAACATGAAGTAAGAATGAATACAGCACTTATTAATATTAATTTAAACATTTTCTAATACACTATATTCAAATCAAATGTTTGTTATCATTAGTTAATGCACTGTGAACTAACATGAACAGCTGTATTTTTACTAACTAACATTAACAAAGATTAATAAATACTGTAATAAATGTATTGCATATTGTTAGTAATGTTAACTAATGAACCTTACCTTGCTGTAAAGTGTTACCAAATCTTTATAGGAGCACAAAAACAGACCAAATTGAGTCAATAGTCGCCTTACATTAAGAATATAGCGCATTAAAATAAATGTAGCGCAAATAAATGACCGGTTGCATTGAAATTTTTTTTTAATTGCCTCATTATTTCTAAGCTAATCACATGATACACACTGTGTTTAGCACTTCTGGGGTACACTGCAAACAATTCTGTTCTTACTTAGTATTTTTGTCTTGTTTCCAGTCCAAAATATCAAATATTTCTTAAATCAAGATGGATTTATTAAAGTAGTAAAATGCCATAAGATATTAAATCTTGTTTTCTGGGTAAATAAATAAAAATGAAGTGAGTTTTTGCTTAAAACAAGCTAAATTATCTGCCAATGGGGTCAGAAAATAGAATTAATATTATTTTTCTGACCCCATTGGCAGATAATTTAGCTTGTTTTAAGCACTTTTTTCACTTTTTCATTTTTATTTATTTCCCCAGAAAACAAGATTTAATATCTTATGGCATTTAACTACTTTAGTAAATGTATCTTGATTTAAGAATTTTTAGATATTTGGACTGGAAACAAGACATTTTTTGCAGTGTAATATGACCTTTGACCTGAGCATCTGCATTTCTCTGTACATTTAATGTTGAAAATACCCATTACATAAAATATTTCTACCACAAAAGCTGCTCAGATCGTGGAAGAGTTTGATGAGAAGGTCATATTGATATCTTTCAGCGAATGCCTCATCATGATGTGCATCTCTGCGTGAGATCGGGTGTTTTTGCTCGTCACCTTGAGACGGTTTCGATAAACGCTGTACGTGAGCGTCAGCGAAGGCTCAGCTTTGACTATCACTGATAATCTCAAGAACACAAAACACAAACACCTGCTCAATGAGGGGTACGTGACGGAGAGATGCGCTCATCATGAGATATTAGTCAGGTCAGCTTCATTTATACAGCGCTTTTAACAATATAGACTGTTTCAAAGCAGCTTTACAGCCAAATTACAGTAACAGATTGTTTAGGCTTTACAGCAGCTCTAGAATAAAGTTATTGTCCTGATAAAGTTAGTTTTGATTGATTCACTTCCGTCACAACGATCATTAGTTATTAAAGGTACAATATGTAAGAATTTTGTAATAAAATATCCAACAATCACTTGCACAGTGTGATATATTTCCTGCAGTTGTGTACTTACAATATCCCAAAAGTCTCCAAAGATTTTTTATTTCAAAGAAATTCCAATTTGAAATAAGTGGCCGTCCCGGAAAAAAATGTCGCCTGTCAATGACGCAATATCCGCGCTATCCTCGGCTTCCGCTCGTACTGCCATAGCCATGACGTAACCATGGCGACAGACGTGGACAACTGCGAAGTGCGTAACGTTTAGCGGCACACAGTTCTTGTTTCGTTCAAACATAGACCACGGCAAGCAGACTTTGGGACAAACAAGGAGAACTAAAATGAGGATCAACATCAGCGGGGCGTTTTTGAGATGCCGAGAGCTAGCGTCCGCGGCTAACTTGGACTCGACAGAGCTTCACGAGTCACAACAGCTTTATTAGACAGGTGTGCAAATGTACATAAAACAAATCAATATTATGTATAACGTTAGCTCAACATGATGAAATGTTAGAATATGGTCAGTATGTTATTCTAATGTTGATCTAGCTCACTGCTAGTTTCGTATAGCAAACGAACTAACACGTAGTATAACATTATAACTTTCAACACACATTTAAATGCCGTTTAGTGTGATAGTGTAACGTTAGACCAAGTGAAGCAGCGCTGCGTTACCTCACACGTTTAATTCGTCTAATAAACTGACCTGTGTGAGTAATCCAGCACTTGCGTGTAGTTCGGTAGAATTAAATGTCCTTATTCCTTTATATCCGCGGGACTCGCGTGTGATATCTGTCTCTTTAGCAATCGCGACCTGCTTCATACCACTGTAATGTTAAAAACATGAATGTTTGCACTGATCCA